ATCTCTTGTATATTAACAAAAAATTCACATTTTCTTACAATATTTGTGCTCACAGTTCAGTTTGTATGCAAAGTCATTCTTATGTAGCAAATATGTTTTTTATACATATGAACTTTAATAATATAATAAAATATTTTGGCGCTTACACTTTTTCTAACTGTTTGGCCGAGCTTCCCTAATTTGTGGTGCGCGTCTTGATGTTGTAACACAAATGAAGCGGCCTACATTCTTACGCCGCTTCCGAACGCCAAATGGATTTTATCAGAAGCTTTATCGTTGCAGAAATACACTCGGACCAGTCAGCCACCGTGGCCGCCCTGATGTTGTAACTTAAATTCAATAATTTGTTTGCGTTCTCGCCAAGTGAGTTTGTTCTGTGACCGCTGGTGAGTGGAGCAGAAGGATAATTTTCAGCAACTGCTTTAAGTAACTCTAGGGAGCTTCGGCCTGGCGCGGAAGTAGTGGTAGCAGCTCCGGTGATGGGAGCGGCTGTCCGGGCCCTAGTGGTGACGACGATGGTAGCGGCGGCCCCGGATGACAGCGAGTACGAATAGCGGTCCTCTGTAATGCTGGCGGGCGGTCTTTGGTAGCGATCTCGGCCTTGGGGCGGCAGTGGTGACAGCGGTCCAAAACGGTGGCCCAAAGACAACCTCTAACAAATCTTGTATATGTATATTCCTTCATCACAATTTCAAATTCTGAAGTTCTCATCTGACAGCTGATTTTAAGAAAAAGTTGCAATACAAATTTTTTTTAAACAGAGCCTTTAAATAATACATGTTAAAAAAATCGAGAAAAGTGTTCAGCTTCGACATAACATTCGGTAGTATTTTCCCCGAAGCCAAGCATTGAGCCGAATATGAAAATATTACCGATTAACCGGCAAACCGAAGCCATAACCGAACAATCCGTGTGCTAGTGAATCATATCTTTCCAGTGGACCTAAGTTTGTGCTTCATATAGTATTAAAAAAAATACGGATTTATACCATGTATGTAAATTAAGAATTATTTTTTCCATTTATTTAAATATTAACAGGAAGCAGTGGACCACAACAATAAAATATCCTCAAAACCACAAAACCTGCTATGTGATGCACAATTTATTGAATTCGCTAAGATATACAAGACACATCCGTGCCTCTGGAATGAAAATGAGATAACATATAGATTCCCTAATAGGCGTCGAGAAGCACTGGAGAATATACTTCACGAGATGAATGCAAAATTTGAATTAAACTTAACTAATCATGATTTGGAGAAGGAAATAACTCGACTGCGCAAAATATGTTCTTACGAAAAGAATCAGAAAATAGAATGTAAGCAAAACAAAAGTATTTATGAACCAACATGCCGCTTTTATGAGCACTTGGCATTTGCTGAGATCGATGTTCGTCCTTTTGAATGTCCGGTTTGTGGAAATTTACTTCCTAGTCAAAGCCAGTACAAAAAACATGTCGCATCCCATGATGGGTCACTACCATATAAATGTATTGTTTGTGGACATGGTTTTCTGCTGTTAAATAATTTTACGGTACATTTACGTAGGCACGCACAAGACTATAACTACAGCTGTGAGGTGTGCAACAAGTCTATTGCAACCACAAGTGAGTTAAAATGCCATATGCTTACCCACACTGGCGAAAAACCGTATGTTTGTGATATTTGCGGCAAGAGTTCTCGATTGCTTAACGAATTTAAAGAGCATTTGCTTCGACACGAACAACGCCGTATTCACAAGTGTTCAATTTGTCCAAAGGCTTTTTATAACAGAGGTAAGCTAAAAGACCATATGGCCGCCGTTCATGTGAAGGTGCGAAACAAAATATGCAATGTATGCAATAAAGGATTTACGACTCAGAAACAACTTCGTCAACACGAACACATTCATGATGCAGAAAGAAAATACGTATGCAAGATTTGTGGGAAACGTTTCTCACAAGCCGCAGGACTAAGTGGGCATGTAAAATCGCATGGAACATCGTTATCCGCTTTGAGTACTAATTTTGAATAATTTTATAAATTTTATTCGTGCTTTACTTAAAAACCTTTTTTCCTATCAAATACATACAAACCTACATATGTTTCTATGTACATAAATTATTAGGTTTTTTTCATGTCGTAGAAAAGTAGACAGTCTCAACAACTGACCAATTGAAAAGGTAGTTGGAAATAAGTTACTCGTACCTTGAAACAAATACAGCAGGCGAATTTCCAGCTTTTCACTTATTTTTGAATTGCTTCTCACTTCCGCAATTGCATACTTATAGACGCTTATTTGACGCTTGACGTGCCCCTAGGACATTGCCATGTTAATAAAGTCAGTGCTTACGAGAAACAAGAAAGAATTTAAACAATGGCTGCAAGCTGGATTTGATCCGACCCAAAAACCGCTCAAAAAATTCGGTTTAGAATGAAAATTGACTTATGCCGAATTTTCACTAGGCATTGATATGACAAAATATGTATGCCATTTAAAAAATGCCATGTGGAAATGAACTAAATGACTTTTTTTTAACGTAATGACAGGATTGTTTTTGAATGCTCGACTTTGTCACTTTTGCCATTTAATGCCTAGACATTTCAAACTTACACTTTATTATACTAAAATTGAATTAGCTATGAAACTGCACCTTCGAATTTCTTTTAATTCTGATTAAAAAGTTTGAAATTGAGATCTATATATTTTTGGCTATATGTACGAAGAAAATAAGCAAGAAAAAAGCAATTGTAAGCTCGTAGCTAAGCACTAAAATATTAATAAATATGCTTGCAAATATAGAAGAAAAACAACAAAAAATGTATGTAAGTACAGTTCAGTGGTTTGTTTTTTATTCAGTTTATTTCGAGGATTGCACATTAGGTCAAATGATTACTTTTTCTGTGCGAAATTAATAGCAGCTAAAATAATGCATTATTTTAATGTAAAAAAATGGCAAGCGTTATAAAAAAAGTGTAAAGGCAGTAAATAAATTGTGAAAACATGACTTGGCTTTCGTAAAACAGAGCTTTCTGCCCTTTTGTATGTTCAAATGATGAGTATATGTGTTTAAGTAGTACCCAAAAACATTATCCAATTAGCTTGGTTTTGACACAAGTTATTTTGTTACCATACTCAAATGAGCTTACATGAGCTACATAATAAAATAGGTCTAGTGCTTAATTATGGCATTGTCGAAATTCCTAAATTGAAAAAAGAAAAATATTTACTACATGTCTCGCAGACATGCCTTGAGGAGAGATTCCCAAAGCAGTTAGTCTTCATAAAACACTTCATTTTCACTTGAGGTTTCAGTATTCCCTAATTCTCCATCGATATTATTTATATTCAGAATGCAAATGCTGCTTTGTGACACATTTACCAAAAATCGCAGGTAACTTCCTGAAAAGAATACGAATGTTTTTGAAAATAATTTGTGAAAAGAATGTTCAAAGTTCTATTCACTTTGAGTCAAAAATTTCTCTCAAGGATTTGCCTTTTTGCGAAGGCTGCTCATCAATGGTCTTTACGTATCGGCGCAAGTGTCTTTGTAACATAGCCATGGCTACGCTACAGGAGATGAAATGTAATCCAAATTGAGGCTGGTATTTTTTTGCTATCACACGCTTCCATTTTAACTATTTATCACCATTAAAATGGACTATTTATCACCAAAAAATTTATGCTAAGCTATTTTTAGTGAAAGGGAGGAAAAAAAATTTAGAAAAATGTTAACTTTCGTATTTTAGCATTTTAGCGATAGCGAAAATTAGAATCCGACTGCTGGTCGACACAGTTGGCTTTTTGATTTCGAAAAGAACTTCATCAGAAAGAAACGCTATGTTTTCAGATCTAAATATTTTAGCATCTTTTCCAAATTGTTTTCCATAATTTTCGTCTTTCTTTGATAAATAATTGCAAAATTATTTTCATGGAACTTTAGCAAATATCTGCAGCACCAACTGAAAAAGCTTTTTTTTCGAACATCCAATCAGCCAAACTTCAAACAACTCGCCTTGTGTAATAGCATGATAGCCCAGAAAAAACGGGTTTTCTTGAAAACGGCGCCTTAAGTAAAATAATATCAACTCATTACATCTTAATTTATCCAATTTGTTTTCCGAAAGTTAACAAAATTTTAAAAGCTTACATAAAATCATAAATGGAAATAAATTAGAAAATGTTTGAGGTTATACAAATAAGTAATTTTTTTTTTTTTGAAAACAAATGTTAAAAAGGCACTTTTTTAAATTGGGGCATAGGTTCTCACTTATAGTTTTGTTTTCCAGTTGAAATTTTCCTTTAATTATTCGAACTTTACAAAAAAAAAATGCACTTGAAACTTACAAAATAAACCAAACCAAACAAATTTTAGAAAACCATATCGAGCCCTAACCGCCAAAATAACGTAAGCGACATGTTTTTCAAAATTTTCTTTTAGATGCAGAACTATTCCTAGAGCATCTAGATACATTTCTGCATCAAAAGAAAATTTTGAAAAAAATGTCGCTTACGTTATTTTGGCGGTTAGGGCCCGATATACATATATATAAATGGTCGTCTGCAATAACGACACACTTCAAATTCAAAAAATAAAAACTGTTACTACAGTTAAGTGACTGTTGTCTCTAATCCTTGCCTAATCCATTTCTATCTCTTACTAAAGTAACTAAAGTAAGCAGTAAGGATTGCTAAAGTAAATACTAAAGGTTAGAAATCGATTCGACAAGGATTAGAGACCACTTAACAGTAATAACAGTTTTTATTTCTAGATTTTTGAATTGTGTCGTTATTGTATAGGTCCATCGCATAATACTTTTCAAAGACTTCACTAAAATATCAGTTGCTTCTATCGTTTTTAACGGAAAGTTTGCTTCAAATATGTAAAATTACCCATTTCTTCCCATGTGGTGTGGTTTGAGATTCTTTTGATGAAAAATTCTTATGGATTTGTACCATATAAATCAATCTTTATTGTTTCCATTTACGTATATTTCTGATAGCTATTTAAATTTTAACAGGCACGAGTGCATCGGAAGACTAAAAAGCTCTCAAGACCAGAGATCGTGTTAAGCGATGAACAATTTATTGATTTGGCCAAAAGGTACGAAACACATCCATGCCTCTGGAATGAAAATGAGATAGCATACAGATTCACTAACAGGCGTCGTGAAGCCTTGGAGAATATACTTCAGGAATTTAATTTAAAGTTTGATATAAACTTAACTAAACCTGATCTGGAAAAGGAAATTTCTCGACTACGCAAAATATGTTCATACGAAAAGAATCAAAAAATAGAATGTAAACAAAGCAAAAGTATTTATAAACCAACATGCCGCTTTTATGAGCACTTGGCGTTTGCTGAGGTCGATGTTAATCCTTTTGAATGCTCAGTTTGTGGAAATTTACTTCCTAGTCAAACCCAGTACAAAATACATTTAGCATCCCATGACGGGTCGCTACCATATAAATGTATTGTTTGTGGACATGGATTTCAGGAGTCAGCTAATTTAACGGTACATTTGCGGAGGCATGCACAAGACTACAAGTACACCTGTGAGGTGTGCAACAGGCCTATTGCAACCACAACTGAGTTAAAAGCCCATATGCTTATCCACACTGGCGAAAGACCGTATGTTTGCGATGTTTGCGGCAAGAGTTTCAAAATGCTATACGATTTTAAAGAACATTTGCTACGACATGAGGAACGCAAAATTCACAAGTGTACAATTTGTCCAAAGGCCTTTTATAATAGAAGTATGTTTAGGGAACACAAGGCCACTCATTTGAAGGTGCGGGACAAAATATGCAGCGTTTGCAATAAAGGATTTACAACTCGGAAACAACTTCGTCAACACAAAGACATTCATGATGCAGAAAAGAAATTTGTTTGCAAGATCTGTGGAAAGCGTTTTGCCCAATCCGCTGGACTATGTGGACATATAAAATCGCATGGAACAGCATTATCTTCTAAGATTGCTAATTATGAATAAACTTTTTATTTATTTGTGCTTTGTTTTATAAGTAAAATCCATACAAACAATATGTAATATCTTTCTTATCATGAAGTTGCAATTTAATTTTATTTCGAAGATTGATCCTTTTTTCATACAACATTAGACATTGAAATTTAAGCAGGGACCGAAAATATCCGTTGAATATTAAGATTTTTATTTTTTGCATTTTAAAAAATCGTTTTTTATTTTTATTTTTCCGATCAAGAATAAGCGTTAAATTAGGTTGTTATTTTTTGGAAAAATTGGATTTTAATTTTTTCCGGTCGTTTTCAAACCTTATGGGACAGACTGCGTTTTGTATGACTGATTTAAATCTTTTATGATCTAAAACATTAAATCTGAAAATAACGGTTATATGATCGAAAAAACAGAAATCAAAAATAACTTTTATTCTAGAATGAAAAAAAAAAATAAAAATCATAAGATAACGGTTAGGTTTTAAAGATCCCTTAAAGGTCCCTTAATTAAAGTGAATAATATGCATTATTTTTTCCCATGTTAAAATATTAGGTATCAAATTAAAGCGCTTGGCCTAATATTATAATAATATTTTGGCGCTTACACTTTTGCTAAGTGTTTGGCCTAAGTTCTCCTCTAATTTGTGGTGTGCGTCTTGATCATTTTAGCAACGGAAAATAATAGTAATGGTATACATTGTTGACTGGAACAATCGCGGTTTTAAATACATTTTGTGCTTTTGAAATAAATATTCATTGTTTCAAAGTGCATAAATGATTATAAAAATTTCAACATATTGTGCTTGTTTCGTGGAGTGTGACTTGTTCTGTCCAATCTCGTCCGATATGATATATTTGTAGATCTAATAAAAGGGCATTATATCTACCTTCATTTAGTGTATGGATTGTCTACTGCATCTTCCTGCTGTTTTCTAAAATTGCTATTTTCAGACGTCATCAAAGTCAAAAATGAACAAATATTTAACGTCTGGATGGATCGGAGGTCCGTTTTTTTTTTAATGGGACATACATGCTTTTACCACAGATTCGGATTCTGCCGACAAAAATACGTAACATTTGCCAGAAACGTTTTTCTAGAATATACTTACGGTTAAAAGAATGGACTTCCGGTCGAAACTGGAAGTCGATAATACGACCAAAAGATAGAGAATAGCCGACTTGGTAGTTCATATTTTGCCGTTTTCCAATAAAAACATTTTCTCCATTTTAGAAGAGCTGCGTGGGTGAACTGGGACATCCGGTATATGGACGGTGGGTGTGATTGTGGGCCGGTTTCGCTGATTTTCAAACCAACGTCTTTTAAGGTTCTAAGAAGCTTGTGTACTCGATTTTAAACGCCTATCTGCCATGCATCAATTCTTCTTATGCAAAATATGCTCTAAGAACGCATGCCCGCCGGCTGAAGTTTTAGTGTGCATTAGCCAATCAGAAAGAAAGAAGACCCCGGTATAAGCGTCGGCTATCACGGGATTAGCCTTCTTAATATGGTGTATAAGGTCTTATCAAGCATGTTGTGGAAAGACTGAAGTCCACCGTCAACGAACTGATTGGTCTTTATCATAAGGTGACCAACAGCAATCTTTTTTAAGGCATGTCTTCCTTTGTAAAGTGCCCTCCTTTTTGACATTTGTCCTTTTGATATTCGTATTTGAAGTTATGTTTCCTTACCGTGTGTACATACTAGGGATGTTGCGAATGTGGAATTTGAGACATCCGCGGATGCGAATGCGGATGCGGATGTTTAAAAGCTAACATCCGCGGATGCGGATGCTAATGCGGATGTCAAGTATTTTTAAGAAATAATTTAGGTGATTTAGGTAAATAAAACATGGAAAGGGTAGTAATTTTTTATAATGTTTTTTTTTAGTACATGAATTTAAAAATTGGAACATTGTATTTAATAAGAACTTTTTATTAAAAAGTAAGTAATGTTGTTGCCTTTTCGGGTTACAGCCTGTTTCTTAAAGAGACGTGAATCAAAGCTGCGCCTCTAAATAACTACTCGCACGAGGCGACAAACTTGAAAAACTTTAAACTTGACAAAATGGTAAATTCTTCTCGATTGACGTTGCACCAGTTGAGAGGACTTTCAGTTATATTTATTCTTTTTTTTGCGGTGGAATAATTACTTTTTGAGAATTGCGTCGGGGCTGTAATTGTCGGATGTATACTCCTGACTTTCATCTTCACAATCTAGCATCATGGCAAGATCGTCGTTTAAACACCGCTGTTTTCCAAAGAATTCTTCATTCTTATTCCTTTGGCTCATTCTAAATTTGGAGAACCTGTAACGTCATCAGCGTTTTTCGATTTTAGTTTTTGTAATTAATTTGTAATCCTTTCTTCCGTGTTTTATCAGTGCACTTGCACAATATTCCAGGGACCGAAAATAACACGTTATTTTTTACGACTTAAGCTTTGCCAAATATTTTTTATTCTGAAATAAAAGTCCTTTCCGTATAATAAACAAACACAAAACACTTATCTAAATTAAACAGTTTTGGTATCATATGAAAGAGGACTGAAACAGCTTTTAAACAGAAATAACGAACGAAGGTTACCACCTCTACTTATATTCTTTTTTATAATTTAATACTAAAGAAATTCATATACCTGACCCAAAGTTTGTTCTATGGTAATTAACTTACATATTTTATTTAAATATGTTTCAATATTTGGCCAAGTTTAACTCTTAAAAAAATAACTGTTATTTTCGGTCCCTCCAATATTCTCAATCGCAAAAGATCCGCATTGATTATTGCGAATGTCAAAATTAATGCGGAAGCTCCGCGGTTGCGAATGCGAATGCGAACGCGAATGCGAATATTCGCAACAACCCTGACACTTACTATCCATTAGAACCTTACTAGTCGTGCGTGTAGACTAAATGTAAGCACCACTCTACGACCATAGCGATACTTTTAGTCCGGGAGCCAGCGACAGATTTTTGCGACCAATTTCGGTTTCGCTCATATTCATTTCAATGCATCGTATAATGCTTCTATAAAGCCTAGTAACGTTCCGCTGCGGCACCACGGGTGGGTGGGGCTACAGCAGCCTCCCACGCAAACAATAAAAAATATAAAATTTTATTATTTCAGTTTTGCTAGAAATGATATGAATGATAGAGTGTATAGTAAAGAGTAAGAAAACGATGTTCAGCTGGCTGTATGTGGGTGGGTTATACTTCAGCTGCTCAGGTGACCACAAAAAATAAAAAAAAAACTTTTATGATTTTAGTTCGCATGAAAATTGGTCAGGCGATAGTTGATATCATGATAAAAACATAACAAGGTAAAACCATTGAGAGGCAGTCTGACGTTTGCCAACAATATAATTTTAAAATCAAAACTCAAACTCACACACACATTCTCATTTTCAATCTCAAACAACAACAATTGTGAACAATTTAATTTTTTTATTTTCAATTTTATATGATTTTAAAATGTTGGCAAACGTCAGAAAAAAATCATGGCCGACGAAATGAGAGAATGAATTTACCTTGTAATGTTTTTATCATGGTTGATATGATACTTAAATCAAATCAAACGTTCAGCTGGCTGTATGTGGGTGGAAAAACGTTCAGCTGAGGCAGTGAAAGTGTAACGCAGAAAGCAGGTATAAGAGCGGCGCTCTCAGGGCACGCGTAAGTTTAATACGCCAACTGAACGTCTTTCCGCCCGTATTACAGTCAGATGAGCGTTGTTTTTTTTGGTTTAAAGTGATATGTGAACTATCATATAACCAATTTTCACCTGAACTGAAAGAATGTATCTAAAGTTACACGTATTTACTCATGCAACTTTCGTACAAGTGACGTTCATGTTAATAAATGAAGAAGTATATCAATGAAAATTTTTATTTGACGTACCTAATATTGTACATAGCATATATACATAAATGAATTTAGGTTTCTTCCTCGCTTTGGTCTGCTGACGAGCTTGAAGCGTCGTTATCCGAATCGCTATCGGAATCGCTTTCGGAAATCTCATCATCTCATCATCACTTTTGATCGGGCGCAGCGGAACGTTACTACGCTCCATAGCGACATCATACGAGTCATATATATTAATATTATTGACAAAAATATGTCGCTGGCTCCCGGACTATTTTGTTGGTTTGGGTTTGTTGGTTGGATGATTTGTGGTTGGTTGCACCGGCACACAAAAAATAAGTGTTGTGTGCTTTTACAAACACTCAAAATTTCAAGTAAATTGCGAAAAACCGGAAAATGGGCAAAAAATTCTCAATTTTCGCAATTTTATTTAAGGAATAGAAAACTCACAATGGGGGAAATGCCATTTCAACGATCAATTGAAGAAGGAGTTTCCATTTTTCGTATCGAAAAAAGCTCTTATTTTGAATGACTTTTTCCTGCAATATAAATCTCGATTAGAAGAAATGCAGAAATCAGTGGTGTTTTTTTTTACTTCGTCGTAAGTGAATTGGATAAATATTGCATCCTGTTTTGAGCTATTATCTGAAGAAATGCCAGATATTAAAATAGACAATTGTCTGTTCGAAGGCCTCCCTCTTCCTCTGCTACCACCAGCGGGTTCCGAGTTGAATACTTTCAGAGCTGGAGCGTCGGTGTCCATTCGAACGACATGGCCAAGCCAGCGGAGCCTCTGTCCATGTCGCTGTAAAGCTCATACAGCTCACCGTTCCATCGTCTGCGGTACTCGCAGTCGCCAACGGATGTTGTCATTGTCCATGCTTCCGCGCCCTACATCAGCACAGGCATGATGAGTGACTTACAGAGCGTGGTTTTCGTACGTCGAGAAAGGACTTTACTCCTAAATTGCCTACTCAGTCCAAAGTAGCACTTGTTGGCAAGAGAGATTCTGCGTTGGATTTCAAAGCTGACATTATTATCGGTGTTAATGCTGGTTCAGTTCTGCAGCTCTTATTATCTTCTTCAACATCAAATTAAAGAAGTCACATGAAAGAGAGTCGCCCTGTCTGAAACCCCGTTTGGTGGCGAACGGCTCGGATAGGTGTTTCCCAATTCTGATNCGTTCAGCTGGCTGTATGTGGGTGGAAAAACGTTCAGCTGAGGCAGTGAAAGTGTAACGCAGAAAGCAGGTATAAGAGCGGCGCTCTCAGG